TCTGTCGCAGTGATTATGAGTCAGTGGGCCACGGCGTTCCAGGGAGCCTGTCCTGGTGGCAAGACCTGGCTGGGGGTCTCATGGGAGGTATCACCGGCACTCACAAAATCCACCTGTGATTCCTCCAAGATCGGGAGCGGGGTGACCATGACCCCCTGGGCACGACTTCCTGAGGAACAGCGGCGACTCACTTTGTCCTCTGGGGTCAGGGGCTGCCTGTTCCCTGGGGAGGGTCCTGCTGGGATTAATCTTGTGTCTGGCAAGGCTTTCCACTGCGGCTGCGAGTCAAGGCCTCGTGGGGAACGCTAACTTGAGAACGAATGGATGGGTAAATGGATAGACCAGAAAGAGCCTAAACAAGTAAGAGGCAGTGCCCAGTGGCTCACGGCTGGTGGTCCTGTGGCTCTCTGTGTGCCTCTGTCCCTGTGGCATTTATGTCCAGAAGTATCCCCCATGGGGTAACCCCAGAAAAGGAGGGAGGCACCCGAAAGCGTTCAGGCTGTGACCCCTCAGAGCTCCCTATGGGACCGGAAAGAGAGGCTCTATCCATGTCTGCTGGGGAGGGAGCCATGGCAGGGCTGAGAGTTCAGGTCATCCTTGTGGGGAAGAGCCTTGGGTTGCGTGGTCTGTTCTGGGCATTCGGAATTCTGAATCTAGTGACCGCGTTCTTCCATGACACACCTCAGGAGGCTCAGGGCTGCCCCGCCTTGAGCGTGTCCTTGATGCTTAGGGCCAGGCCTGGGACCAGTGCCGTAATTCCCACCCTGCAATCTTCACATCTGTCCGCGAGATAAAGTTGTGGTCGAGTCAGAGGGAAGAGCCCCAGAGGCCACTCACTGACTGACAGTGGCATTCCACCTGTTGGATTTTAGAAGTATGGCAGGGCGTGGTGGTTCGTGCCTGTCATCCCAGGGCTTTGAGAGGCCGAGGTGGGAGGATGGCTTGAGGCAAGGAGCTCGAGACCAGCCTGGGCAACTTAGCAAGACCTTATCGCTTCAAAAATCATAATAATTTAACAAAATGTAGCTAGGTGTGGTGGCATGCACCTGCAGGCCCGGCTCCTGGAGGGATGGGGGGCTGGGCTGGGAGGATCACTTGAACCCAGGAATTCGAGGTTGCAGTGAGTTGTGACCACACCACTGTACTCCAGAGAGAAACCCTGTCACTAAAAAAGAAAGAAAGAAACAAACAAAAGCCAATAAACAGAGAATTTAGAGTTGGGCAAGGCCTTTGAAGTTAGACAGACTCAAAGCTCTAGGAAAGCCAGGGCTTCCAGGCATGCCTCAAGGATTCCATGTATGATCTGGTGTTTTGGGAGAGTTATAAAAGTTTAACTTTTCTGAGGAGCCATCCCACCCAGTTTATGTGTTTTATGTTGGAATCTAATGCAGAATTTTGAGAAGCCAGCTCAGTTGCTTAAAGACCTGGCCTAGCCGGGCTCGGTGGCTCAGCCTGTAATCCCGCGCTTTGGAGACCGAGGTGAGTGGATTGCCTGAGCCCGCGGGTTCAAGACCCGCCCGGGCAACTTGGCGAGACCTCATCTTTACAATAAATCAAAAAATTAGCCAGGCGTGGTAGTTCCAGCTACTTGGAAGGCTGAGGCGGAAGGATCGCTGGAGCCCAGGAGGTTGAGGCTGCGGTGGCTGGGAGCGGCCACTGCACTCCAGTCTGGGCCACAGAGTGACACTCCAACTCAGAAAAAAAGGAAAAAAAAAAAAAAAAAAAAAGACCTGGCCTAGTCCATGCCCTTCCAGCTTGTTCCAGTACGTTTTTGGAACGAATCCATTACTGAGCAAGAGCCACGGCTGGGCGGGGCAGGGCAGGCAGGCGTCGAGGGACTTCAACTCCATTGGCTGTCAGTGTTCGTAAGGCACATATGTGAGTAATTGCAATGTGGCAGGAATGTTAGAACGGAAGAAACTGAGGCTGGGAGGGGTTACATGGCTTACCCGGTGCCACGCTGTGAGTGGGCCACTCACTCAGGATCACTGTCTCCTGATGGTGTGTGTTTCTGTCCAGCTAGGCTGCTCTACCTCCTAGGGGGGCCCTGATGTGGATACTGTTGAAATAGCTTTTTAAAAGAGGTGAGGGTGTAATTCCCATGCAACTGTGACATAAATGTGTCAAAGATTTTATTCAGCTGGGTGCGGTGGCTCATGCCTGTGATCTCAGCACTTTGGGAGGTCAAGGTGTGAGGACCACCTGAGCCCATGGGTTTGAGACCAGCCTGGGCAACTTGGTAAGACCTCATCTCTACAATAAATTTCAAGAAAGAACCAGGTGTGGTGGCACGTGCCTGTAGTTCCGGCTAGTTGGAAGGCTGAGATGGAAGGATCTCCAGAGCCCAGCAGGTCGAGGCTGACGTGGCCGTGAGTGTGCCACTGCACTCCAACCTGGGCGACAGAGTGAGACTCCAACTCAAAAATATATAAGTACATAAAAAGTTTTTATTCAGCTTAATGAGGGAACCAGTAACTTGTCAGGACTAGTTCAAAAGAGAATTTAAGGAAGGGAGATTGGATAGTTGGCCAGTCAAAGGAATGCTGAAATGAATTAGATAATAGATTCAAAACTGGCTAATGCTCTTCAAGGCAGTACACCCTAACCTTCAGGGGTTACATTTTCTCCCAGACAGAAATCACTGGCATTGCTGTTGGGTAAGCATCATATACATTGCTGTCATCAAGAACCATTTCCATTGTTATTGGTTTTCTACAAGTTAACTTCTGTTCTTGTAACATATCAAGCAGAGGTACACGTTGCTAGAAAAATCAGAGAATCCCTAAGCATGGCAGGTCTACTAGTCAACACCCAGCATCACATCATGCCTGTTTCCAAATTTTGTAGAAGTTTTCTTAACAATCTTGTGTGTGTGTGTGCGTGTGCACTCATTTGCTGAGTGCGTCTTTGTGTCAGGAGGCAGAGAATTCACTGTAGCAAAATGGACCTGGGCATTTAGCTCAATAGAAATTTGGGGGACACTGAGAAACACCTCAGTGAGCAGGATGGTTTTCCCAAAAATAGATTTATTGGTCTTACCAGCTGGGGGCAAAGGGGGCCCCTTTAGAAAATGCATAAAGCAACTGTCATGGGGAAGTATGAATCTCCCACATTTTGCTTTATTTTTGAATCGGGGTCTCACTCTGTCACCCAGGTTGGAGTGCAGTGGCACGCTCGTGGCCACCGCAGCCTCGACCTGCTGGGCTCAGGTGACCATTCTGCTTTAGCCTTCCAAGTAGCTGAAATCACAGGCATGTGCCACCACGCCTGGCTGATTTTTTAATTTAGTGTAGAGATGAGGTCTTGCCAAGTTGCCCAGGATGGTCTCGACCCCCTGAGCTCAGGCAGTCCTCCCACCTTGGCCTCCCAGAGTGCTGGGATGACAACCGTGAGCCTCTGCGCCTGGCTACATTCTGCTTCTGCTGTTGGAAAAGGCCTCCCTGGGCATGGCGGGAGAGGAGTTCACCTGGCCAGGAAGGTTGCTGAGCCAGGCCAGCAGAGAGGACGGCTGCTTCCACCCAGGCGGACTCCTGGGCTTAACCTCCTGGCTGAGCCTCTCGGGGCTGTTCTGGTGCACCTTCCTGGCCTCTACTCTGCCTCTGCTGGAGTGGGTACCGCTCACTTTTGAATGGCTCTTGGTGGTGTACTAAGGTCATGACACAGTTCATGAGAAGAGCATTCAGAACTCACACACAAGCCTCACACACTTGACCCCAGCATGCTGAGTTTTTCTGGTTTATGTCAGCCGGCCTCTCCTAACATTTCTGTGCCCCCTACCCCCGAGCATTCTGTGCTTGGAGTCCAAGATCCAGGCCTGGGGAGGCTTGAGAAGATTCCAGAAGCTGCTGTTTTCCCCTCACAGGCCAGGGGGACTCGGCCACCGAGCCCCCCCACTGACCGACTGAGGCTGTGTATTTCTGTTCTTGCATCTGAGTCTGGATCCCCTGGGTAGTGACTGAGAGGCTCGCTGAGACATGCAGAGAAGACACTGCCAGTTCTCTGGGCCTCTGAGAAATTTTCATTTGTACCGCATAGGCATCAAATCTGTAGTTACTTAAAGCCTTTCCCTCAGTTATGATCTGAGACTTGGGTTCGTGGTCCAGCCGAGCTGTCACCTGGTGTCACCTGCTGTCACTGTGGCCTCATCAGCTGAGGGCGGGGATGTGTATCTCCTGCCTGTCCTTATTCTCCTTCCTTTTTACCAATGTCCTGTGTTTGGGTGCGGTGGCTCCCACGTGTAATCCCAGTGCTTTGGGAGGCTGAGGCAGTAGGCTCACTTGAGACTAGCCTGGGCCACATAGTGAGATCTCGTCTCCACAAAAAATAAAAATAAAAATAAATGAGCCAGGTGTGCCCATGTGGGAGGCTGAGACAGGAGGAGCACTTGAGCCTAGGAGTTCGAGGCTGCAATGAGCTATCATCATGCCACCGTGCTCTAGCCTGGGCAACAGAGCCAGACTCTGTTTCTGAAACAAGTATGTTTGGTAGATGTCTATGGTATGGCTAGGGTGTGTTTGTGGGCACCCATGTTCCTTGGTGGTCAGGTCTGTGCAAACATCCCCCCAGAGTCTGAGGCCGAAGAAAGAGGCTGACAAATTCATTGTCTTGGAAAGAAATGTCTAATAGGAACGAGCGGATGGAAACCATGTCTGTTCCCCTGTCTGTGTGTTGGGCGGGGTGGGAGGAGACGACGGAGTCTTGAACCAACGCCTCCAGACCCAAGGCTTCCACACCACAGGGCAGGGGACTAGTGCTTAGGGACAGGGTTACAGTCGCGTGGGCTCTCACCCAGGGAGCAGGAGACCTGCTGGGCATCTTGGGGCCTTCCTGAAGCTGGGTCCATTGGAGGCCCACATGGCAACTGAGCAACCTGGATGGGGTTGCTTCAGCCTCCAAGGCCTGAGAGCTGGAGACCCGGGAGGTGGGTGAGCCAGCAGGGACAGGGCGGGCAGGGTCCTTTGAGCCATGCTGGGGCTGATGCCTGTGTCTCTCCTGCAGGGCCAAACATCTGCGCCACGCGAGGGGTGGGCTCCTGCCAGCAGTGTCTGGCCGTGAGTCCCATGTGTGCCTGGTGCTCCGATGAGGTAAGGACAGACCCTGGCCCTGCTGTCCCCCAAGATGCAGCCGCTGTTGGGCAGAAACTCTCCCACGGGGTTAGCTCCTCTCTGCTAAGCACACAGCCCCTGGGCCCTGGGCAAACCCAGGATGACTGCCTCCCACTGTGGGGGTAAGGAGTGTCATGGGGAACGTGGCTGGGATGATCACGGGGCCCACCGCACAGCCTGGGCCTAGAGCTGTGGCTGGGCTTCTGGGCTCACTGTGGGCTGCCCTGTTGCACATCCAGCTTGCTTTTTGTGGGGGTGAAAAATTCCAGGAACGTGGCCTTGTGTGTCAAAGCAGAGGCAGCCCGGGCACAGGTAGGAGGGGATGCGACTCACTTTCTTTCCATAGAATTTTTTTATGTTTATTTGAGTCGGGGTCTCACTCTGCTGCCCAGGCTGGATTGCAGTGGCATGATCATAACTCACCACCACCTCAACCTCCTGGACTCAGGTGATCCTCCCGCCTCAGCCTCCAGAGTGGCTGGGACTACAGACGCACACCGTCATGCCCGGCTGATTTTTGCATTTCTTATAGTGACGGGCGTCTCCCTATATTGCACAAGCTAGTCTCAAACTCCTGGGCTCAAGCAAGCCTCCAGCCTCGGCCTTCCAAAGTTCCGGGATTATAGGTATAAGCCACTGTGCCCAGCCTAGAATTTGAGAAAGGCCATGAAAGAGGAACCTTGTGTGGGTGTTTGGGGTGTTCAGTCAGAGGGTCCTTCCTCTGCCTTTTCTCTGATGGTGGCCCACGCTGAACTTTTCCTCTTTCTTCCCCTCCTCTCCAGCCCTCCCTCCTTCTCACAGGTGTCCTGAGGGAGGGAGCCACCCACGTGCTGAGGATGGGACACAGGGAAGGATTAGCTGTGTCTGGGCAGTGGGTGTGTGGTGTCTGGGGCCCTGGGGAATGAGTGTGTCTGAGGAAACAGCTATGTTTGTGGCTGGGGTGGAAATTGGGAGCTGGCGAGAGCTGGTGGGGGTGGGGTGGATGAGGCTGGAGATCCCATGATGAAGGAGTCTGGGCTGAGTCACAGTGGCAGGTGCTTACCTGCGCTCCTGGCCTGGCTGCTGCTTGCCACCTGAGACACCCTCTGTGCGGGCAAGACCCTGTCCTCAGCAGTCGATGACACTCCAGCCCGGCCTGGGGTCCAGATCGGCCTCCCTGGTGGGCAGGGAGGTGGGGGGAGAGGTGAGGAGAAGAGTGGGAGCCGGGATGCTGTGTTTGTGGGCTCCATGGGGGCTGCTGGCTGCACGCGCTGTCAGGACAGTAGAGGCTGCCTCCATGCTTCAGGACAGTGGAGGCCGGCTGCTCATGCAGCTCTGGCCTCTGTGCTTCCAGGGGCAGCTGCCCAACATCTGGGCCACATTGACTTCATTTAGCAAATGAAACGTTCCTTGAGGCCTGGCGGGGTGAGGGGCCAGGTGGGTCCTCCTCCCCTCTGAGGCACGTGGCCGTCCTCCCCCTTTTGGTCGCTCTCATAATGTTGTTAAGCTTCTTTCACAAGGAAGCTGGGACTCTGCAGCCGAGCCAGGAAGACAGGTTGCCGCACGGGAGGGGCCTGGCCTGGTTTGGGTGGTCTGAGGCTTGCGAGAGCAGCGGGGAGTCGGGCTGGCACCTAGCGTCCCTCAAGGATGATTCCCGGCCTTGCCTCCTTTTGACTCCAAAGAGAGAGAAGATACAGGCAACCCTGGCCCAGAGAGCCCGGGGGAAAGCCCTCTTGGAGGGTGGGTCTGTCTGCCTGCAACCCCGTTTCGCCCCCTTGCTCTGCACTGGCCGTGAGACTGGGATGGGCTGAGGTCCCTCCAGACGAAGCCCGGCGGTCACGTGACCAGATTTCGACGATGCCAGTGTAGAGCAGAAGGAGGGACCCAAAAAACCCCGGAATTATCTTTTGGAGGGCGGGCCCCTTTTAGCACCAGCTTCCCCACTAGGCGGGTGTTCTAGGAACCCATCAGCATCTGTGGACCAGCTGGTCTTTGTTGGGGGAGGCTGTGTCCAGCTTCAGGAAACCTTTTTTGGAGACTCTTTCCGCATTTGCCCATTTCCTGATGGGGGATTTCCAACCGCACCTGCCCACACCACGTTGAATGTTCAGCAGTTTTTGACCAACAAATCAACAGATGGCATGACCCCCCCCACGCTGTGCTCCATCCTCCCTATTCGCCGATCTCTCCCCGAGCGACTTTTCTTGTTTCCCTGGATGAAAAAATGTTTTGCCGATGTGGAAGAGGTGAAACAAAACCCAGCAGATAGCATCAAAAGACATCAACGTGGATGAGCTCAAAAACTGTTTGGAGCAGTGGAAAAGTGTCTTGATGCGTGTATTGTATCCCACAGAGAGTGCTTGGAGGGTGACTGTAGGAATAAACACACAATTTTTAATAAAGTTCGGGCTTTTTGGGGTCCCCCCTCCTGTTTACGGGTGACTGTGGTGAATCAGATTTCTGGGGTCCAGCAGGGAGGAAGGCAGAGAGAAGGGTGCAGGGCAGGACCAGGCTGGTGGCGGGCACAGCTGCAAGAAAACGGCTGCAGCCAGAACAGGAGAGGCTATCAGAGGAAGGCTGAAGTCCATGAGGTGTTTCTCGTGAGGATGGCAAGTGAGCATGGCAGCAGGGCGACCAAGGGTTTAGGGCATGGCTACACTGTCCCTAAGCCAGTGAGGGGAGGGAGTCCAGTATGGATGGTAGGGGAGCCCCCAATGGTGACCCAAGCATCACGGCTGTTTTTGTCCCAGGGAGAGCAGGGCTACCCCTGCATGGCCAAGTCTAATTGCCAAAGGGCCTTGGCGAACCGCCGGTCCATTCTGTGTGTAGTGGCCAAGCAACGGAGCCCTGGAGTCCTCTGAGGGTCCGCCTGCCTGGCCTTGGCTGTTCCGGCAGGCTGGCAGTGCCTGGAGAAACAGCTGGTTGGGCTCAGCATTCCCCTTGGTCCTGGGGGATCCGCTCCTGGGTGTGTGCAGCACGAGCTTGGCTGGGTGGTAGGAAAAACCGGCCAGTGTGGATGAGCTTGGGGTTTTGGGTCCATCTGCACAGGGTGTGTTCTCGGAGGGCTGGATGCTGACACAGCTGGAGCAGCATGTTGCCTCTGGTCTGTAAATCTGGGGAGGGTACTGCTCCCTACTTATATTTGTTCTTAGTCACTAACACAATTTTGTTCTTCCTTCTTTGCTGTTCTTTTTTTTCTACTTACTTTTAATCTGGAGCACAATGTCCATCTTGAGAGTTTCGCTCCAGTGTAGTCTTGTTAAACAAAAAAAAGGCATAGGCCTGTAATCTCAGTACATTGGGAGGCCGAGGCAGGAGGATCACTTGGGGCCAGGAGTGAGGCTGCGGTGACCTGTGATCTCGCCACTGCACTGCAGCCTGGGCGACAGGGTGAGACCCTGCCTGTAAAAAAAACCCAAAAGTATAATGTGAAGAGTTCTCTCTTTGCAAACAGAGAGGCACAAGGCCCGACAACTGTAAAGAGACGCCTTCCTTTTCTCCTCCGCTTTCCTTCTGTCCCTTCTGTCCTTCTCACTCAGGGTGTTCGAAGGGCTTCCTGTCCCAGCCAGATGCGTCAGTAAAGATCCCAATGTGAATTCATTTTGAGGTTTGGTGGCACTCGGGGTGTACTGTCCTGCCTCTCCAAGGGGAAGGTGCACACGGCAGCAGGGATCCTGTCATTGTAGAAAAGTGTCACCTTGTTGTTGCCTGCGTTCATTTTTGCCGTATCCGGCAGACACTGCCTTATCTGGATGACAGACACTGAGATTTTCCCGTTTTGAGAGCGTTTCACACTCAGCCTTCAGGATAACAACCTCGGGCAGGAGAACGACCATTATTCGTGCAGGACTTTCCCAGCTTCCAAAATGGGATGGGTAGGGACAGTCCTGAGAGTGTGTCACCCTCCTGGGAATGGGAGGCCATTTCATAAGTTTGCACGGGCCACCCACCTCAGACCTTCTCAAGTCTTGGCCGTTTTTGCCTTCTCTGTGTGACATCTGGTTTCCCTGGGAACTGGAGCCGTAACACCCACCCTCCTTCTGGCTCTTTCTCTGGAGATATTGCCTCCACCTTCTCAGCCTGGGTTCTAGAAAGGGAACCCGACCCAGGGTGTTGAGGTCTCCACCTGGGCACCCTTTGGGGGCAGGAGGCTCTCACGAGAAAGCTTGGCTGATGACCAGGCCTGTCATGTCCCTGACCGCTGATGTCAGTGACCGCAGAGGAGGGAGGGAGGCCGTCTTGTTTTTCAGTGTTTAATTTTTGTAAGGCAATTCATAACAAACCATGAGGACTATCGGTGCGTCCTAGCAAACCCTCTCCTCAGTGGGATGGCCAAGTTAGAAAACAGAGTCATGGCCGGGCACAGCAATTCATGCCTGTCAGGGGTTTGAGACCAGCCTGGGCAACTTGGCGAGACCTCATCTGTACAATAAATCAAAAAATTAGCTGGGCGTGGTGGTGCATGCCCGTGCATGCCTGTAGCTCCAGCTACTTGGAAGGCTGAAGTGGAAGGATCGCCTGAGCCCAGCGGGTCGAGGCTGTGGTGGCCATGAGGAGTGTGCCACTGTACTCCAGCCTGGGTGACAGAGTGTGACTCCAACTCAAAAGAAAAGAAAAGAAAAGAAAAGAAAATGGAGTCAGGAAATCCCTCAACTATCCCCTCCCTCTGAAGGCCCATGTGGCTTTGCCACCCTCATGCTGTCTCCGGGTCCCCGTCCCTGCTCTCTCCCTCAGCATCCGTCATGGTCCGCAGAGGATCTGCTCCCCGCAGTGCCTTGGTCTTTCCCGTCACTGTGTTTTTGGAGAAGTTTTCTCCGGGGCAGCTGGAATCAGAGACCCAGCAGGAAGGACCCTGCTTCCTGGGGAGAAAGGGAGGATGGGCGGGCAGGGTGAGGGAGTCTGGGCATCAGGTCTGAATTGCCCTGAGCTCTCCCTGCTGCCATCTCAGCCAGAGCTGAGGTCCTCAGCCAGAGCTGGGCAGAGAGTCCCATCTTCGTAAGGATTGTGAGAGTCTGTGTCGTCCCCACTGGCATATGTGCTACCAGGAAGGTGACATCGTATTACCTGCTCCCACCATCGAGGACATTTCTGTACCCACCTCTCCGTGACGCTGGGAGAGAAAGGAGGAGGCTCCTGCCTCCCAGCGGCTCTTGTCGCCTTCTGCCGGGGTCGGGGTTGTCCTCCTGACGCTGATGTCACACACGTTCCCTCCACATGGGGAAGCCCTTCAGCTGTTGGAGCCGCTGGGCCCCAGAAAGAGAGAGACTTCAAGCATCGGGGACTTTGGGGCTTCAGTGTTTTTCGTCTTGTTTTTGAGTTGGGGTCTCACTCTGCTGCCCAGGCTGGAGTGCAGTGGCACGCTCAGAGCCACCGCAGCCTTGACCTGCTGGGCTCAGGTGATCCTTCTGCCTCAGCCTTCCAAGTAACTGGGACTACAGGCGATCACCGCCACTATGCCCAGCTAATTTTTTGATTATCTGTAGAGACGAAGTCTCACTATGTTGCCCAGGCTGGTCTCGAACTCCTGGGCTCAGGCCGTCCTCCTGCCTCAGCCGCCCAAAGTGATGAGATTAGAGACATGAGCCACTATGCCCAGCTGTGGGCCTTAGAGTTTTTGAGTCTGGGTGGCTCTGTGTGGCCCAGTCCCTTTGCTGTCATGTGACTGCCAGGTGACATGGCGGGGGGTGGGGACGTGGGGGGAGAGGTTGTGAGGAGGCAGTATGTCCCCTCCCCTCTCACTCTTTCCCATGCCCATCTTGTTCTGTCTCTACCTGGGCCGTTCTTTGCTGTGGTTCCTCCTAGGACCTTCCTTCCCTTCCAGCTTCTGCGTCTCTGTCCTGACTCACACCATGTACAGAACGCAATAAAAACACCTTTTTTTGGTGGCGACTAGGTCTCACGATGTTTCCCAGACTGGTCTCAAACTCCTAGCCTCAAGTGATCCTCCTGCCCCAGCCTCCCAAAGTGGTGCTGAGCCCCAATTTTATTTTATTTTATTGTTATTGTTATTATTATTTTTTTGAGTCAGAGTCTCACTCTGTCACCTGGGCTAGAGTGCAGTGGCACACTCACAGCCTCTGCAGCCTTGACCTGCTGGGCACAATAAAAACACTTTATGGGATAATTACAGCCGGACAGGCCAGTGGGCATCTCCATCCAGCCACTTCCTAGTTCTGCAGCTTTGGGCATGTTCCTTAACTTCTGGAAGGCTCGGGTTCCCTGCCTGTGAGCCCGGGGTCTCCATGTCTAAAGTCCCTAAGACTCGGCTTCCCTCCTTGTGAGCCCAAGGTCTCCGTGTGTAAAGCCCCCCTGCCTTGGGTTCCCTCCCTGTGAACCAAGGGTCCCTGTGTGTAAAGTCCCCAAACCTCGGCTTCCTCCCTGTGAGCCCAGGGTCTCCATGTGTAAAGTCCCCAAGCCTTGGCTGCTGTTCCTGTTGAGCCTGGAGTCCCCATGAGTAAAGTCCCCAAGCCTTGGGTTTCCTGCCTGTGAGCTCGCGGTCTCCATGTGTAAAGATGCCAAGCCTCGGGTTCCTCACTTGTAGTGTAAGACAGTTCCAGCACTGCAGAAGTGTGAGGACGGTTGCAGTAGGCCACGCCAAGTGCTTGTCACAACACTGACATTCAGTAAATGCTCAATACTTGCCAATGCTAGTGTTCTGGGACGTCAGTACAGGTTATCCGGCTGACTTTTGGAAGTGGCTGTTGGGGAGGTGGGGGCCAGGTGAGAGCCTGACAGCCTAGGCGCGGTGGAATAGGTCCAGCGAGGGGTTTTCCAGCTTCCTGGCCCCTCCCTTCAATCTGCCAAGAAGCCCTCGTGGCCATGCCCACACAGAGCTGGTGGAATTTGCCAAATGTCAGAGCAGGCGTGGGTTGGAAACAGTGTGTCATCTAACCGGCCTGTGGGACAGGTGAGGAGATCTGTCCCAAGTGATTGGCCGAGGTCATGGGCTCCTGGGTGGCAGGCCTAGGGTGGATGCTCTTTCCTGACTTCCAGTGTTCTCCCCAGGACAGCATGCCCCAGGCAGCCTTCAGGTGCAAGCACACAGAGCCCTGGAGCCATGGGACACACGTGGGCTTTTTTGGGAGGAGCTCAGTCTGTTCCTTGTCCAGGGTGAAGGAGGAAGTGGAAGAGACAGGATCGGCTCGGTCAGCTGCCCTGCATTGTGACATTTTCTCCAGTTGTGGAGAGCATGCTTAATAAGTTTAACCAGGAAGTATTGATTAAGCATCTCATAATCACAGCTCACATGTATTGAGCACCTGCTATATGCCAGGTACTGTGCTGTGCATATCATGTGCATTGTCTTATTAAGACCCACGTGCCAGGGAGGGAGGGGACGTTATTATAATATTTTTAAGGAATTTTTATTGTAGTAAAATATACATACCGCAGAATTTGCCATCTCAACCCCTTTTAAGCATACCATTCAGTGGAGGAAACACCTTTACAGTGCTGGGAAGCCATTTGCACCGCCCATCTCCAGAACTTTTCATCTTGGGAGACTGGAACTCAGTACCTGTCTTTGGGATTTGCTGTTGTTGTCAAAGTCTCATTCTGGAGTGCAGTGGCACGATCACGGCTCACTGGAGACTTGACCTGGGCTCAGGTCATCCTCTCACCTCAGCCTTCCGAGTCGCTGAGACCATAGGCGTACGCACCACGCCTGGCTAATTTTCTGATCTATTGTAGAGATGGAGTCTTGCTGTGTTGCCCAGGCTGGTCTGGAACTCCTGGGCTCAGGCAATCCTCTCACCTTGGCCTCCCAAAGTGTTGGGATGACAGGCATGAGCCACTGTATCCGGCTTGTCTGTGGGATTCTTGAGGACTCTAAGAATAGAGGGAGGAGCTAGCACTGTCCCCATGTGACCGTGGAGGAAGCTGAGTGATTCACCTTAGGAGGCTGGTGTGCAAGGCCAGGCCAGGTGAGGCTCCTGGTCCGCTCCTGTCCGCCCAGCCTCACTGTCTCCTGTCTCTCACCCCACCTGGCACCGCCTGCCCCCTCACCTTTGTGGTCAGTCCTGGGTGGGTTGCCCTGCCCTCATGGACCTCCCAGCCTGACCAGGGTCTAACACAGCGGCATCCAGGTGGTTTGACCCTGACCTACAGAAAGAAACACATTGGACTGAACATCGTTTGTTACATGTGCTATAGCCCACTCCACAATACATAACTGCTTCGGAAAACAACACTTACTATTTATACACTTAAAATTTTCTATTCTATTCAGTTGCATTTTATTTAACAAAATGATGGCTAAGGCTGAGTATGGTGGCTCACACCTGTAATCTCAGTGTTTGGGAGGCCAAGGCAGGAGGGTCGCTTGAGGTCAGGAGCTTAAGACTTGCCTGGATAACACAGCGTGACTTCGTCTTTTACCCCCCCCACCACCCCATTAAAATGCGAAAGACTCCCAAATGAAGGTTGAGACCCACTGAGTTGATTTTGGGCCACACAAATGAGTTCCAGTCCCCAGTCTGACATGTGTTGTTCCACCAGGCATCTCACTACACGGGCCTCTCCCAGCTCCTGGTCCATGGACAGGCCTTCGGGAGACCTTAACGCCCCCTTCCTGTGCAACAGTCCTTGGGGGTATCCCAGGAAGGACAGTGCCAATTGCTCGATGCTGGTTTAGCTCCAAAGTGCTGGGCAGAGGCCAGGCCACTGGGAGGGGGCCAGGCTCTGATGGGTCTTTCCCATGGGCTCCTGTCTCGTAGGCCCTGCTGCCGGGTACACCCCGCTGTGACCTGAAGGAGAATCTGCTGAAGGACAACTGTGCCCCAAAGTCCATTGAGTTCCCGGTCAGCGAGGCTCAGGTCCTGGAGGCTAGGCCCCTCAGTGACAAAGGCTCTGGAGACGGCTCCCAGGTCACTCAAGTCAGTCCCCAGAGGATTGCACTCCGGCTCCGGCCAGGTAGGGCTGGGGCTCATCTCAGGGAGAGACCTGGGATGGGTGAGGCAGAAGGCTGAGCAGGGTCCTTTGGGATGGCAGAGCACAGGACGGAGATGTGTGGGGAGAGGAGGAAGGCAGGAGGTACGGGTGGGAGAATGGGAGAAAATCAAGGGGGTCAGGGCTTGAGTCGGAAGCTCAGAGTGTGGATCTCGACTCTCCCATATAGTAGCCATTTGACCTTGGCTTCGCCCTGTTGCTTAACCTTTCTGGCATAGCAGGTGTGCCAAGCCATGCGTGTTTCTTCTTCCCCCCCGGCTTGCAGCTCTGTGTTGAGTGCAGATGAGATGTAGGACGAGAAAGCAACGGGAAGCCCCTTTCCCATGCGGGGTTGGGGCAGGGGCGTGGGGCCAGACCACATGGGTGCCTTCAGAGGAAGGAAGGGTCAGGCCAGAAGACAGGCTTTCTGAAGCAGGGATTTTAACTTTCCACTTAAACCCACAGGGATTTAAGAGAGAGCTCCATGTGCCAGGCAGCGTTAGGTGTGGTGGGACCCAGGACTGGGTAGTCCTCAGTTGCTGTCTTGACAGAGTCTGCAGTGTTGCAACTGCCAACACCTCTGTGACTCACAGTGTAGACCCTGGGGGCCTAGAGGGTTAAAGGTGGTGGGAAATCTTAGGATGGAAAAGATGAGATTAACCACAGGAGAGTCAAGAGATGAGACACGGAATGGAATTGCAAGGGAGGGGGGAGGGATCAGGACTTTGATTGAGCCACGACTCAGTCCTAAATGTGGCCAGGTCAGTCCCGTCTTCTTCCTCTTCCTCTTCTTCTTCCTCCCTCTCTTCCCCCTCCCACCTCCCCTTCTTTTCTTCTGTCTCAGAGGGAGAACGTGAGGGAAACTAACATCCCCTGCCTTCCAGATGACTCGAAGACCTTCTCTGTCCACGTGCGGCAGGTGGAGGACTACCCTGTGGACATCTACTACCTGATGGACCTGTCCTACTCCATGAAGGACGACCTATGGAGCATCCAGAACCTGGGCACCCAGCTGGCCGTGCAGATGCGCAGACTCACCAGCAACCTGCGCGTTGGCTTCGGGGCCTTTGTGGACAAGCCCGTGTCGCCTTACATGTACATCTCGCCACCAGAGGCCCTCCGGAACCCCTGCTATGAGTGAGTCCCTCCCCAGGGAGCTGGGACGGCGCCCCTCCCCTCCACCCCTGGCAGGCAGGGCCGGGTGCTGGCTCCTGTTTCTGGCTCAGGGTGGCTGTGTTGGCTGCCTCTGGTCAAACCCCGGATTCTCCCTACCTGGGTCTCCCTGTTTGGGGAATGGACCAGCCTGCTCATCTGGAGAACTGTGTCAGTCGAGTCCAAGGGCTGTTTGGAGACCTGGGAGGAAGGTTCGTCAGCTTCTTGTTCTCAGACACAAACACAGAGGAGGAAAGGAAGGATGACGGGAGGGAAAGGGGCTTGGATGTGGTTTTTGTAGGGTGGGTTCAGAGAGCCTTCAAAGGCCTGGTCGACGCATGCATAAGCAGAAGAATTACGGTTTTGGGAGGATTGATTCCATTGTTGCTGTCACTGTGTCCTCACCATCAAGGCTGTGCATCCTGTAGGGTTAAGATTCAAGATATTTAGTTCTGGAGGAAGAGAAGAGGGTGGAAATGACACTTATTGAACCCTCTAATGGTCTGTAAATTGGTGTGCCTCTGGTTGACACTTTGGCTTACAGCTGAATGGCTTATTTATTTGGCTGGTGGAGACTATGCAAATCCATGTATTATAACACTTTAAGTTGATGGTTGCTGCCAGGCTCAGTGACTCAGCCTGTAATCCTGTGCGTTTGGGAGGCTGAGGTGAGTGGATTGCCTGAGCCCGCGGGTTCGAGACCCGCCTAGGCAGCGAGACCTCATCTCTACAATAAATCAAAAAATCAGCCGGGCGTGTAGCGCATGCCTGTAGTTCCGGCTACTTGGAAGGCTGAGGCGGAAGGATCGCCGGAGCCCAGCAGGTCGATGCTGCGGTGGCCGGGAGCGGCCACTGCACTCCAGTCTGGGTGACAGAGTGAGACTCCAACTCAAAACAATAAAATAAAATAAAATAAAATGATGGTTGCTGAACCAGGCAAGGAGCAAGTTTACTTTTTCATTTTCAAAGTTATGTGATGTGGCTTTTAACCTTCTGCCTGGGCTGTAAGTTTCCCCAGTAACAATATCAGCTATCAATTAAATATCCTGGCCGATGGTAGAAATGCTCCTGTGTGGCATCTCTCTCTTTCTCTCTCCCTCTGTTTCTGTCTCTCTCTCTCTCTCAGAAGGTTCTCCCTCTGTCACCTGGGCTGGAGGGCAGTGGTGCAATCATAACTCACTGCAGCCTCAACTTTCTGGGCTCAAGTGATCCTCCCGCCTCAGCCTCCTGGGTAACTGGGTCTATAGGCATGTGCCACTATGCCTGGCTAATTTTAAAATTTTTTTATAGAGACAAGGCCTCACTCTGTTGCCCAGGCTGGTCTTGAACTCCTGGGCTCAAGTGATTTTCCTGCCCCAGCTTCCCAAAGTGCTGGGCTGACAGATATGAGCAGTGCACCTGGCCTATCAATTTATTGATAATTCAGGGTCCTTAACTTATTGATGGAATTTTGCTTTATTGTTACTTTAGGGAAGTGTTACATATAAGGTGATAGCAATCCCTACTCGATTCCCCATTTTCAGAAGTTAGGTTCAGAAAGGCTTGCCGAAGACCCCATGACTAGTAAAAGGGGGAGCTGGGATTTGAACCCCAGGCAGTCTGGTTTCATGCTTCACTCTGTTGCCCAGGCTGAAGTGCTGTGGCACGATCACGGCTCACCACAGCCTCGATCTCCTGGGCTCAGGCAATCCTTCTGCCTCAGCCTCCTGAACAGCTTGGACTACAGGTGCACGCCCCACCATGCCTGGCTAATTTTTACAAGTTTTTTGTAGAACCGAGATCTCGCTATGTTGCCCAGGCTGGTCTCGAGCTCCTGGGCTCCAGCGATCCTCCTTCCTCAGCCTCATGAGTCACTGGACTATATGCATGCACCACCATGCCTGGCTAATTTAAACATTTTTTTTTTGGAGAGACGAGGTCTTTGCTGCCCAGGCTGGTCTCGAATCCCTGCGCTCAAGCGATCCTCCCAAAGTGCTGGGATGGCAGGCGTGTGCTCCTGTGCCAGCCAGCTTACTCTCTCACCCTCTAGGCTAGCTGGAGGCATGGGTGGTGGATGCCTCAGGTAACCTGAGGGGCTGGAGTCTGAACTGTCGGGCGACTGTGGCTGTCTGGAACTGGCCTGGGCACACCGCGGCCTGCATGCACCCCTGGTCCTTCCCACCCCGTCCCCACGATGCCTGTGCCAGGGGGCATCTGCCTCATCTCCCAACCCCTTTCCAGCATGAAGACCACCTGTTTACCCATGTTTGGCTACAAGCACGTGCTGACACTCACCGACCAGGTGACCCGCTTCAATGAGGAGGTCCAGAAGCAGAGCGTGTCGCGGAACCGAGACGCCCCAGAAGGTGGCTTTGATGCCATCATGCAAGCCACCGTCTGTGATGTGAGTCTGGAGGGCAGGGAGCCCCAGGTGTGGCTGGCACCGATCAAGATGGGGGAGGGAGTGGCTTGACCCTGGGGCTTTCTGGTGTGAGATAAGAGCCAGGGGCTAAGCAGAATTTGCATGGTGTGGTGACAGATGGCTCTGGACACGCGTGGCATCTGCCTGTGTCTGCTCCCCGGGGGTCACAGCTGGCATGTCCTTGGGCCTCTGTGGTCCCAGATGCTTGGTGGGGAGAGCAGCTCCCCACCTTCTCGGGAATTGCCTGAGCGTGGAGGCTGGGGGAACGCAGCCTCAGCAGAGCGGGCAGACGTTCAGGTGCATTTCTTCCAGCTCAGTTGGGCTCCGTGTCTGCTGTGATTTCTAGGCAGTCACTGGAAGAGCTGTGTCTGGGGCTGGCGAAGGCATCACTCAGCTGCTTCACGAGTCAGAGGCTGTTTTCCTGGGGGAGCAGACACCTCTGAGCTGCAAGGCTGTGGTCTGGGCTTCTCCACCTCAGCTTGTCCGGCCCCTCCTCCAGGGAGCCCTCAGGTCTTTGTTCTCCACCAATGATGCGGCTGAACCTGCACTGTCTCTTCTGACTTTTTCTTTCTTCTGACAGGAGAAGATCGGCTGGAGAAACGATGCCTCCCACCTGCTGGTGTTCACCACTGACGCCAAGACTCACATAGCTCTGGATGGGAGACTGGCAGGCATTGTGCAGCCCAACGACGGCCGGTGCCACGTGGGCCGTGACAACCATTACGCGGCCTCCACCTCCATGGTGAGCTCTCTGGCATCACCTGTGGCCGCGGATCCCCATGGCCGGGGCTGCCCCAGCGCAGGCGGAGTCTTGGTGTGAATGTCCACGTGGCCGCCTTTCCTCTGGGGAGGGTGCGGTCTGGGGTTTCCACCTGCCCCTGTGCCCTGCCAACTGGACAACCCTCTCTGGGGCACAGCCTGCACAACCACAAGAGCTGGCCCGGATGGTGGTCAGCACTGTCACTGTCTTCACTGCCACCACCAGCAGCAGCAGCGGTGTGGCATCCAGGATGGCAGGTCCAGCTGGGGAGCAGGACCTCCTCCCCACCTGGGTCAGCCCCTTCTCGGAATACCATGCTCATGCATGGTTATTGAAAGAAGACAGAGGAAAACAAGAGAAAATTATTCAAAAGCATGGAGAGCAGGTCCTGGGGAAATGATGAAAGGGCTCAGAGTCACTTAGTGCAGAAGAAAGAAAGCTCAGGGGGATTTAGTGGAGGTGTGAGATGGCTCATGCCTTAGTTTAACTGGCTGCAAAAGCTTAACTGAGAGGGAAGGAGTTCAAACAGAAACAGGGCCTGGGCGTGGTGGCTCACACCTGTCGTCCCAGCACTTGGGGAGGCCGAGGTGGGAGGATTGCTCAGTCTAAGGAGTTCCAGACCAACCTCAGCAACAGAGTGAGATCTTGTTTCTAAAAAAATTGAAAAAATTAGCCGGGCGTGGTGGCATGTTGCCTGTAGTCCCAGCTACTCTGGAGGCTGAGGTGGCAGGATTGCCTGAGCTGGGATCGTGCCCCTGCACTCCAGCCTGGGTGACAGAGAGAGACCCTGACTCACCTCACATAGGCGGCTTCAAGGCACATCTGCAAAGGCAGGAGACTGGGCTGGAGGTCTCGTGAGCTCCCCGGGAGGTCTAGGACCCCACGGACATGTCCGCGATTTGCTGCCACCCCCGTGTCCTGGAGCACCTTGGTGGCAGCCGTGCCCAAGTTGAGTGCCACCAGGCGGTAGGCAAGTGGAGAACCTTTGGCAGCTTGCCCAGGCAGGGCACTGGGCCAGGGTCCGAGGGAAATAGACCGTGTATGGTCCTGCCCTCAGGGGACTTCTGGTCTAGTGGAGGAGACAGGACCTATGTTCTTACCAATGACACAAAGGTCACGGTCAGTGCTGAACGGGCCGCCGTCATGAGGGCTGGAGGTGTCCCGGGGAGGAAATCGCAGCACGGACTGGGGTGGCCACCGAGGCCTCCTGGAGCTGGTGGGGCTTGAGCTGGGTCCCAAGGGGGGGGAGGAAGGAAGACCCAAAGGGAGGCCGCTCCGGATGGGAGAACGAGTGGGCCAGGGCAGTGCAGAGAAGAAGAGGGAGAGAGGTGGGTGCTAGACCAAGGCGAGTGGTGGAGGATCACCCGGGCCAGGCCGAGGAGGCCCGCCCGGTGCCTGGCTGTGGAGGCTGCCCCGTGGCGTTAACGCGTTGCCTTCCAGCGGGATGGAAGAGGCGCTTGTGTGACACCAGCGGCCTGTGCGTCTGCGCCCACCCTGGAGCTCGCAGGTCGGCTGCACGCTGCTCACGCTTCCTGCCGTGCGTCTCCATGGGCTGGGAAGGTTTCAGTGCCACCGCTGCCCGGCCACAGCCCAGATCAACCAAGTTCTGAGGCCCCACATCTCGGGATGTGTGTGAGACGTCGCTAACCTCCACATCCTCTTTGTCCAGGATTATCCGTCTTTGGGGCTGATGACTGAGAAACTGTCCCAGAAAAACATCAACTTGATCTTCGCGGTGACCGAAAACGTCGTCAATCTCTATCAGGTGACTGTGCCTTTGGGTATCCCCTAGCGGGCCCCGTGATGGGGGGCCTGGGTGGCTCCCCTGGACGAGCCTGGCCTGAGGAGCCAGCCTGGGCCAGCCTTGGCCGTGGTCCCTAGCCAGGAAAGACCCTCTTCTGACCCACTTCCCAGAGCTAAAGACGTCGCTCTGGGCCTTCCTTCCCCACCCTGGAGCCCACCAGAGGCTGTGCTGTGTGTGGATGTCTGTGGTGGCAGGGGAGGTCGTTCGGCGGCCTGAGGGGTGTGAGCCATTGCTTATACTTCGGCCTGGAGCGGAAAGGCTGCCAGCTGTGTTCCTGGCAGTGTCAGGAGCCACACCCCACACCTCCCCCGTCTCCATTTCGGGCTACCAGGGCTTTTGCAGACCGTGGCTTCCGTCAGTCAGCTCTGGGCATCTGCACTTCCTTTCTAGAACTACAGCGAGCTCATCCCAGGGACCACAGTGGGGGTTCTGTCTGCCGATTCCAGCAACGTCCTCCAGCTCATTGTGGATGCCTACGGGGTGAGTGTCTCGTGGAGGGGCCTGCAGGGCGTCCACATCCTTGGGCTTGTGCAGCCGGGCTCAGCTCTGGGAGGCTGGTTCTCGAGCTGAGCTCCTGGAGGCCAGGCCGTGGCCAGCCCGGGAGGCCTCCCGCCCTCTGAGAAGAAGTGGCCCAGAAAGGGGTGCCAGGGAGCAGCGAGACCAGGACTGGGGGCTTAGAGGAATAGAAGGAAAGAGAGGGGTGAATAGACGGAGGAGGTGCTGGGCCCCCTGAAGTGACAGGGCAGAGTGAGGAGGTCTGGGCCCTGGCCCCAGAGAGGAGAGGGCTGAGCCACGTCGAAGGGGAGCGTGAGCAAACACTGGTCAGGAAGTGCCGCCATCTGGGCTGGGCGTGGGGGCTCACGCCGGTAACTCCAGCACTTTGGGAGGCTGAGGCGGGAGAACCGTTTGAGGCCAGGAGCTCGAAACCTGCCTGGGCGACACCGTGAGACCTTGTCTCTTCCAAAAAATGAAAAAATTAGTCAGGCGTGATGACGTGCCTCTGTTGCCGCAGCGACTCAGGAGACTGAGACGGACGGGTCGCCTGAGCCCAGGAGGTCGAGGCTGCAGTGAGCTGGGATCGTGCCACTGCACTCCAGCCTGGGTGACAGGGTGAGGTCCCAACTCAGAAAATAAATAAATGAAGAGAAAGTGCTCCTGGCCTGGGGGGTTGGGCCTGGCACTCCCCCTTTGCTCGCCCACGAGACGCTGGTCAGACACAGGAGGAGACAGGCAGAGGGAGCAGGGTCCTGGGAGGAAACAGGCTCTGGGGACACCTGGTGGCCTCTGGCGAGCCTCAGCACCCGGCGCTGCCAGGGGGGGCTGCCCAGGAGAGTTTGCGAGGACAGCCCCGGCACTGGCCTGTTTCCTCCCAGCCTACGCTCTCACCCTCTCCTGCCCCTTTCTGCCCAGAAAATCCGCTCGAAGGTCGAACTAGAGGTGCGGGACCTCCCCGAGGAGCTGTCTCTGTCGTTCAACGCCACCTGCCTCAACAACGAGGTCATCCCCGGCCTCAAGTCCTGTGTGGGCCTCAAGATTGGAGACACGGTGAGGCAGCCTGCCGGGCCCTGTGGGCACCGCCTCCCCTCTCCCTGCAACTTCTTCCCACAGGCTGCGGCAGGTGGAGGGGCCGGGGTTGCCATCTCGTCCTCCCAGGTGTCCGCCTGAGCCGTGTCTCTCTGGGGACCTCCACACTCGGGGTCTTCCAGAGCTTGCGTTGTGGTGACCCCTGTGTGTGTGCGTGCCTCCCCAAGGGAACGGCTTTCTTTCCTCCGTGATGTAAAGCGGGGGAGTCTAATCTGTCAGCATTTACTGAGCACTGACTGCTTGCCAGGCGTTGTTGCAGCCGCTGGAGATTCAACAGCCAGTGGGACCAGCCAACCTGCCCGCCCTTGTGGAGTTGAAGAGTGGAAATGCTCGTCTTGTCCCTCTGGGTTCCTCCCTGCCTCCCTGGCCTCTCTGCCTAAAGGGAGAGAGCTTGCTGGAGGGCGAGGGAGGGAGGAGCAGAGGTTTCTCAGGCCAGGCACTTTCTGTGGCTCCGCCTGCTTCCCCAGGCCTGTGTGCACACACCCCGCATGAGAAACACGGGCCTGACACACACTTGGCCGCAGGATTGACGAGATGTTCCGCGAAATTTCATGGTGGATTCCGAGCCTGCGCTCAGCCTCTGTGTGGCCTTGTGTGGTCACTTGTGCTTTGCGCGTCTTGCTGATGGAATGGATGTAATTGGTCCAGTGACTCGGCCAGAGCGGAGTGGCCACAAGGCCACAGGCTTTCCACCGCTTGGGTGGTGCATCTCACACGTGGCGTAAACAGCGGCCTTCTGATCCTTTTCCCCTTTCTTTCTTCTTTCTTTCTTTCTCTCTTTCTCTCTTTCTTTCTTTCTTTCTCTCTCTCTCTTTCCTTCCTTCCTTCCTTCCTTCCTTCCTTCCTTCTTTCTTTCCTCCCTTCCTTTCTTCTTTTTGGTAAGGAACACAGATATCTATCCCTCCCCCAAAAATGTACACTCTTTGGTTCTTGATAAAAGTTCTTGTTAATAATTGTCAGCCTCTATATGAAAAATAATAATAGAGGAAAATAAAATAACCTGGATCCTGTACTCAAGTCCTACCTTATTGAAGGAAATTTAAAATATTTTTCCTGGGGCTAATTTTAAATACATAGAGGTGGATATTTAGACATTTCTTAATAATGCAGTAAAGTATTTGTTTTCCTGGGAAAAGATATCAAAACAGTGGTTCAGGAAAGTTTGTAGTGCCAAAAATCTATTCTGCTAACATAAATACAACATATACCTACCCTTTTCCCATTAAGCCTTGGTCTATTATATAAATGGAAATCACATTGACAGGGGTTGTAGGAGAAATAAAAGGGAAGAAAAAAAGCTCTCTGATTTGAAGTATGATCATTCTTCTCCTGGTCTATGAGTCTACATGGGCAGAATAGATGGTGGGTTCTGTGCTCCCTGAGAATTATGCCCTCTGAAAACTGCTATATCTCTATCATTTGAGCCAGGGGGACAACATAATTATTGTTTATCCCAGCTTCATAATCACCTCCACTCTCTGCCTTAGATCATCAGACAATTATTTATTTCTATTTATTCATATTTACACCAGTCACCATAAACAGACGATCTATCTATAATGATGTTAACCACTGGACTATAATTTGTATACCCATCTTCCATT